TAAGCTTTTAAAGAGAGAAAAAAAGGTGGGAGTTGGGGGGGGGGGGGGGGGGGGGGGGGGAACAAAACAACAAAAAAACCCAAACAGCAAACCAACAGCCCTTGTTTTATTTGAATTTGCTTTATCTGTTTACTTTAGAGAAGTATTCTGTGAGGTCTAGTTTTCTTCGTAAGCTAGAAACTCAGAGCTGTTAAGACTGGTGATTGACTAGCTAGCAGAGCTCAACTATAACTTCCTTAGTGGAAATACCGTGCATGTCACTTGAAACATAGCAACAAAACAGTTGCTGATTATTGCTAGGAGCTAGGAATGAACTATTCAATAATAAGCATCTTCACCTTGAGCAAGAGTATATTTGATACAACTGGTTGATATGTCTTGTGGAACTTAGACATATAGAGTAGTAATAAAGTACAAAGGATGGTACATAATTCATTATGAAAGTTAACTATATTGTGCCATTATAGTCACTGTTCTTTCCTTTCTCCTTCTGCACCACATCCATTTTTCATATCATGACTATTTTTTCTCGTCCTCTTATACTTGGTGATTATACATAGACAGTTTCTGCTAACGGACCATTAAGTTCATTGCTCAGCCCATGTCCTGCAGTTACGCTGACAGCTTAGCAACTGCTGCTATAGTCTGTTTAGAAAATACTGCATGCAGGAGCAAGGGTTTGTGTATAATATGATAAACTGTATATAAAGGTTGACAAATATTGCTTTCCCACCTAATGTTTTTTCTCCCCCCACCCTTACCTCATCACATTGTGTGATCCTGTGAGCAATCTCCTTCAACTCTTTCATGGATTTTTCATCTTGGAAATCATAGGGGAAAGTTTCAGTCCATTCCTTCAGGAGCTGAATGATTTTGGCAGCGAAGGATTTTAGCTTTGCCTAAAAAGAAACAATGAGTTGATTACTGACGGTAGACCTTTCTGACTGCAGAGTACATTAGTTGATGAAGGCTGACATAAAACTAGAGACACCCTTGAAAATACTTTGCATTAGTAGTAGGTGAAGGGGATAAAAAAGAACATATTTAACTGTGAGCCAGATTCCTAAACAGCATGATTTAGCCTCCTTTCATGATGGCTTGGTAATGTCTCTTACCAAACACTTTGAAGATATTTTCAAGGTTAGTTATATAAAGGCAGGAAGATGACAAAATAGTTTGTGACTTATTTGATTGAAGTCAATGGGACTTAAGCTGATTTCTGCCATCTGAGGCAGCAGTACTTAGCATTTAAATTCAAATGCATACAAACGGCAGCACTCTACCAAGCATCTTTCATGAGAAACGTTCACAAAGACATTTTTGTTCTATAGCATTTATCAGACACTCCAGATTGAGCTGTATATTAAAATAAATGAATGACAGGAAAGATATGTGTGTTCACTCCATGACATCTAAATCAAAATGGACTTTGAAAATAAGAAGTATTGGCTCTTATTCAAAAAGCTATCAATCACAAAAAGGGGAGGGAGAGCTGTTTTCCGAGTTCTTCTGTTACCCGTGAATCTTCCAAGGCTTTTCACCAGTTAGACCTGAATTGGATTCCAATTGCTCCACTATCATAGTAATAGAGAGCAGCATCAGTAAATCCAAGGGACCACTCCTGTAAAACTGGGAGTGTGAGTGCTAAGAACACTTAACGAACAAGAAGAATCAAAACTTAGTTCAGGTTACGTTTATCCTCCCACTCAACTTGTGATGCACTGAGGAAAAAGGAAGTTTTCATTTGTGTTTAACTCCCCACTTGTGTAAGCTACAGAAGTCCCACTACGCAGCAGTTCCTTCTCCCCATGCACAGTGCCATTTCCTCATTGCACTCTCCATCAGCCTCTTAGGGGTTACAGAAGGTGACTTAGCATGTGACTGTCGCCACAGGAAATCGGTGTATTTTCTTTTAAGACAAATAGAGAATGTCTTCCAAGAATTGGTAGGAACTCCTGCTAAAACATTTTCTGATCATAGTATGTCCCAGTTTATTTAATCAAAACTAAAAGTCAACCAAACTAAGCTATTTTTTTGCATTTTTTAACATCTACCTGGTATACAGTCAGTGGGAATATTAATGATGATTAATAAGAACTTTGAAGTTAAACCATGCACCCTTGAATCTTCAATCTGAAAATGAGTCAGTGCTCTTTGTAAGTCTGAAGGGAATTTTCTTGCTGCTTTTTTTTTTTCCAGAGCTGCAAATTGCATTCTGCTAGCATGCTTTTCCTAGCTGTTTTTTATTGATGGTATTTAATTGATCCTACTAGTAAGAGAAGTGCAGAACAGTTGGATAGTGAGGGCAAAAAGAAAACATCACCATTCTCTTTGCCAGTAGTAAGCAATCCTGCAAAGCAGTCTCTGCCAATGCCACTCCTGTGGAGTCCAGCTTCAAGGTATTTCTAACAGTGTGGGACAGAGTTCCAGATTATAGTTGTCTGTCCTCCAATCTCCCATTGTCATCTGCCTTGGGGAAAAGACAGTTTATACTTCTTTGCTAGGAAAAGCATGGAGCCTGAAATTATTAAAAGAATAATTTGTAGGTAGTGATCGAGAATTAATTAGCCAGCCAGCGTGCTTCCATTCAATTAAAGGTAACAGGTACGTGCCTACTCCGCTTTTGTTTACCAAAACCTGCTACAGAACTGTTTTTGGTATTAATTATCCTGACTATCCTTTCTTTTTAACTTTTGAAACTGAAAAAGGAGGGATGGGGGCCAGAAGGTTCCAAAGTCGTTCCTTAGGCCATGGCAAGCATCTCCATATGAACACTGACTTCCCATCTCATCTATCTACTCGTGAGTTGCTAAGGTTTGCTTCCTTCATGATGGAAGGCTAGGCATCTATTGCAAGACAAACTGTAAACCCTATTACTCTTCATGTACTTACTTTTCAGGTGTAAAAAAGCTTTATGATTACCGGATGCTTTTAATGCTTATGAAAATAAGGTATGCTTTCTGAAAGCAACGCTAAAAAACATCAATACAGCAAAACATGAGATTCCTGTTTCATGTGCACTCTGATGAAACCCAAAGCAGCGTGACAGGCTTGATGCACATAATGTGTGATAACCTAGATAGAAATCACACAGATGTGTGGGTAGCAGCACGCGTTTTCCTTTTTATCATGGTTGCAATAAACCTACCAACCTACTTTTTCTGTAGTCCTACTCCAGATGTGAGCCTCCCCTAGTGAGGCCTGACACAGAGTTCTCTGGAGTCTACGGGAATATGTCTCCCATAAATATTTCTTTGAGAAGAAAAAAAACTTCTATTAATTTAAGTACTGTGCATCAGCCCTGTTCTACATGAGACAAGACAGTACTGAGAAACAACTACCAATTAGAAAGGAGGGCAATAGCAGTACTGTGCTTGTTGGAAAGGGAGGTATAATGACAATGAACTGGTTACGAGTATTGTTTTGATTTTTAGTTTTAGAAATGAAAACTTGCTGGCAACAGAAGCCGAGGGAAATCATAATTTTTGAAGGGACTTATGTATTCCTAGACAGGCAATAAAAGTTTAATGGAAACTAACTTCTACTTTCTCTGTTTATTTCTTACTTCTTTAACTTTTTATTTAAAGAAAAAAAAAATATCCTCAAGCTGCAGAAATAATGCACCACAGTTTTAACAACAGTTTTTTCCACTGAATAATACTATACAAGTGCTTTTTTCTGTGACAATCTTGTTTGGGTCTTTCCAATCTCTAATGCGCTTAGGGAGAGTTAAATTTTATCCTTTACAGTCAAGCTTAACTACTGACTTGTATATTATAATTCATGTCTTAAACTGTGAAACCCTTCCTTTTTATGAATGGCTAAAAGGACTCTAAGCATGCTCCAAGACATTGCAGAGTGTTTTCCTTTGTAATCCACTTTTCTCTGCGTTGTTTTCTATAGGACTCTTTGGCTAGCCAGTGATGTCAAAAACAAAGGAATGATAAGTATTGTGGTGCGTAACCTCAAAACCTGGCTCCTTGCCACTTTTTCAGCTTAGATGCTATCCAGGCAACAAGTCAGCCAGCTTCTCCTTTGCTTATGCAAATCTCTTACCAGAAATGATCAGAGCTGCTTTAACTGCTTTTGCCAGCTATTTCCTGCTAAGGAGCCACTTAAATAGAAGGTGCTGGTGGCTGGTGATACCTTGACGGGTTATGGCTGTGAATACGTAGACTGGCTTGAGTCGAGAATTTCTATGCTGCATGTGAAATCAGCTTTATTTGTTGCCAGACAGAAAAACACATGTTTGCAAATGCTAGTGGCCAATTTATTCTGTAAAACATACAGGTGCTTGCAGTAGAGGACAGTAAAGCAGTCATTTGAGAGAGGTTTAATCAGAAATTAATGTTGTGCTTTCCAAGAATTTTGTGTTTAGTGGGCAGGAAAAAATTAGTTTTATATGAAGAAGGGGGTAGGAAGGGATCAAGGGCATAGTAGGAAAAGCAACCAGCAAAGCATGTAAATTAAAGCAGCCTCCCAAACACTCATGTTTTATTGTCACCCTGTTGTTTGTTGGTTTTCCTGTAGGCCCATTTCCAAATTGTCAGCAGAAGGTGTAAGAGTGTGGGTGTTTTGAATATGAGCTGTTCTATTTTACATCCTGTTGTTAGTATGTAATGCTATTTCATTTCAGTGTGAAAGCCATGACTTTCTAACACATCTGCTGAAAAGCCAGAACAATACTACTTTAACTAATATCTTCAAACAGCCAGGTGACTTAGTCCCCAAATACTGTTTTCATTTTAATATCTCTGAAGTGTATTATTCACAAAAGTTTAATCTTATATCCCATTATTTTTAAATCCAGATATTTCACATATGTATTTTGATGCTAGCTACTGACAGCAGTCTTCATATGTCTACAGATCAGCTCTACCTGTTTCATGTTTCAGATGGTCCCAGCACCTCTTACAAGTTCCTACCTCTGTTGTTTAGTTACATGCTGCTGAGGAACCACTACAATTTACAGAGCATCGGTTTGAGAATGCTCAGTCATGAACTAGTTTGGCAGCAGCAATGGGAATGGTTATCACCCCTGTGTACGAAGCTGGATGCAGTGGTTCTTGACCTTCTTTCCCCAACCCCTTGAATTCTCTAGCACCTATGTGATGAGTTACATAGCTATTTGGCGAGTAGATCAGGGGACTGACCTGGATGAAAGTCATTTTGCACCAAGTGGTTAGTTTTTCCTGTGGAGTAATTTTTTGACATAATGTGAGACTGCACCCAGGAACAGTAAGGGAGAAAGAAGTTCTTAGGTCAGTATTGCTGTCAAAAACTGTGTTGCCTTTTGTGCTCAGAGTCCTGACACAACAAAAAGAAAACAAAACGGGACTATCAACATGCTGAAGATTAGGAATGTGAGCATGTAATTTCTCACTGTAGACGAACGGATCCAAAACATGCCCAGGATTTGAACAATTTAGGCCTTTAAATACTTGCTGATTTCATCCTTGTTTCTGTCGCTCTTAATTTGCATCCTAGCTTGGACTATTCTGGTACTTCAGTTCCAGTCAAAAGCCCTTCAATACCCACTTTCCATAATGGTGAGACTTACATGGATTTAAGTGCATACCTGCCATGGTTTAACCCCAGCCAGCAAACTGACCCAGTTTGGTTTAATTGATTGTAGTAAAACTGCATAGTCACCTGTGTCAGCACAGGCTACCATTTTAAGTAGGCTACCATTTTAAGTGTGCATCCCTTAATTTTTGCAGGAGGTACCTTTCTGATTTACTGTTACACCAACTTAAAACACCACACCAATAACCTACAGCAGAGCGCTCAACTCTAATGGGATGGTGAGGGTGACTGGAGAAAGGGGAATCAGATTCAAGAAAGACCTAACTTGGTGAAAGCCCAAAAGCACAAAGCAACTTGCTGGGCAGGTTTCATGGCAGATACACATTGCTTCAGCGCACGGCACCAACCTGTAGCTCATGAGCAAAGTTATATTTCCAGCCACTGTATCTGACTCATAAGGTAGTACGTAACCTATGTTTGTGGCTAGCAAAGAAGCAACAGTGCTTCAAGGAAAAAGACTGAAATAAAAGTGCATCCCATATCACACGGAAATTACAATTTCAATTTATTCTTTATCAATCTAATTAGTTTTACAATGAGAAGGAGAGAGCGGGAAATATTTGAATGACAGTAGCACAGACGACTGAAGGACATAATGGTTCATTTACCTTTTCTGCCTCGGTCCCCGTTTCTAGTTGCTGCTTCTGTTTAATGCAGATCTGCCCCACTTTAGCCAGGAGCTCATGTGGGTGAATGAAGACTCGTGAGCTCAATAGGAAAGTGAAGATGTAAGTCCTCTGTGAAAGCAGAGAGAAAAAAAAAAGTTGAATAACTTTAGCAACAAGAATCTGTCTTCCTTGGAAAAACTATTCCATAAACCACAAATGTAACTTTTCTTCATTTAAACTTTTTATAATTTTTCCTTTCTCTAGAGACATGGTGGTCTTTTCTAGCTGTTAAAAGGAAATGCTGTAGGCTTCATGGCTGTTAACTGTGTTTTTTTCAGATTCCCAAATTATTTCCCTTTAAAATGCCTTACTAGTCATCGCTCACCAAAAAGACAAATGAAATATGTCCAGTGTAGGGTGTTATGCCTCCTGAACACCACTATTTCTGCTGCTTTGTTTCTTTAAGAGTGATTGTTTTTCACCGAGCTGCAGAAAACTGCTTCAAGTGTATTCCAAACCACAGCTGTAATTTCTTCATGTATGCGGTTTTTCTGTTCTTCTTTCCCCACAATCACTGACACAAGCTTTAGCTTAGATTGTGGCCATATGACAATAATTTACTTTTAAGCTTGACTTGACTTATTTGGGGTCTGTTTCAGAGTCTTTTGAGTATGAACACTGCTAATAAAAGCCAACAATTACTATTTCTCATTAGAAATAGCCTCTCCATTTGTATTTTAAAAGCTGTGATACATTGTATTCCGAATCATACTCTGGACAGTTTAGTTGAAGCAAGAATGCCTTCATGCCCTAATCTTGCTTCAGTGTTTGAAACTTGGCTTCTGTATTTGAATGTAATTGCCTCAGTAATGACAGTAGCATCCCATAAGCACTTCTGTTTTTCCTTTAGGCTTTTTGACAAAATTTGTAGTTGGGAAATTGTAGGGGATCTCCTTGACAATGGATTTCAAGTAACCTTCATGTTTGCAAGATGTACTGTTACTTTGTACCATGTTTTTAGAAATGTGATTTGGCAGGCCACAGCCAGATGTTCATATAAATAGCCAATGTGTGCATATACCACCTTGGACTGGGCAAGTAAATGGAGACATCTAAAAATTTAAGATCAGGTGTCTAAAATATGGTATCTCTACTATTAGCTACCAAATTCTGCTGCTTGCAGTCTCTAAAACACGCTTGTAGTTAAACCATAATGGTATCTTTAGGACTCCAAAAACGTTATGGGGTTTATCTCTCTAATCACAATAAAATGTGCTGTTAATGAAAGATGTTTCCACTTCTTTAGTACTCAGTGTGCCCTATAATATAAATTTAGCACTAAAAACCTCCAAATATCAGAAGGGGGAAAAGGAAGCTTTTTTTAACAAAACAAAACTAACTAAATGTCACAGTGTTCTGGGAGTGAGTGAACAGTATAATAGATTAAGCACATCTATTAAACATCCAACTCTGTCCTGAGCTAGTGGAGGAAACTAATGAAAGAACAGAGTGGACTGTGATACGTCAGAGGCATTTAAAATGCTCTTTCTGATTTGAAGATCTTGTTAGCACTGGGGTTCATGCATTAAATTAGGAATAGCATTAATTCTGTACAATCAAAACTGGAGTTAATCTGTAGTCTTTGTCTTGTCTATTGTTTATGGATAGAGGAAGAGAAGGGTTAACTGGATGGACAGTTTGGATCAGGTTTGGATCACTTGTTTAGTGCTTCCACTGATGCCTACAGAAGATGGACAGTTGGGGTCACCTAACAATTGGACTCTCAGTGACTTTGAGCAGGTAGCCAGGGCAGTGACAGGACACTTAACAGCAAGGACATCCCTTCTCAATGGCGTGGTTGCAAACATCCCACACCAAGTGTACATTGGGAAAATTTAAGAAACTGGGCTTCTGTTTGGTATTTTGTTTATGTCTCTCTCCAGAATTTCAGAATTTAATTTTACATTTACCATGACAAAAAAATGAAGTTCATTAATTTGTAAAAGAAATTCAGTGTAGGTCTTATACTTGCATCTGGAAACAGTTGATGACATTGTGTTAGCTTTGGAGAAGCTTTATAAAAATCTATAGCAGCGTATGTGGTATGTTATGGGCCCTAAAATTAGGCTGAACAGCTAACCTGATTCACAAAAGGGGACTTGGTTGTGTTATGGGACAACATATCAGATCTTTTATTCTTGGGTATGTGAGAAAGATCCCTAAACTGATACACTCCCCATTCAGAATGAAAGCATGAGAAAGAATAGTGTTGGGTTGTGAGATTTTTTTGGGGGGGTTTGGGGTTGGGCTTTTTATTTTTGTTTGTTTGTGTTTTAAACTATGCCTGGTTATCCTCTGTTATTTTTAGTAGCCAACTTCTGTGTTCATTTCTATCAGTGTCGTCCCTGAACATAAAACTGAGTCTGGACTGTCTGGGAAAGGAATTTAGCTGTTGGGTGTGTCAGTTGTCACTGAGTTGTGTGAAAATTTTTGTTCTGGAAACATGAAGCAGCCCTCACTTTTACCCTATTTTGCATTTAAGAGAGATGGGGAATAATAATAAAAAAAAAAATTACGGACTTTGATACTTTCATCCCTTCCCCACATTCTTGTTTTGGCAGTTTAGAAGCCTGTCTGAAAAGATGCCTGTACATGTAAGTAGCCACAACTTAAGCCATGCTGCCCTGCCAATGACCTTCGCTCTGATAAGCTGGAACACATTCTTTTAAGGAAAGATATAATTTTGCTTCTCGTACTAATTCTAGCGTTGGTCTCCTTAGTGGAAGTTTGTGTGATGTGGGACAGTGTTTATCCAGAGTGACTCTGAGAAAGGCCCACTCAGAGTATCATTTCCCTATTGTTATACTGCAAGAAAAGTGTGACCCAGATGACCTGTGCTTTTATTTGGTCTCTTTGATAATGTTTTATATGATGTTCAAAAAAGTGCCGAACTGGCAAGATGCAGGAAGATACGTGGCCATAAGAGTGCATACTTTCCATTTTAGGCTTGCTGACGTCTCTCTGTAATCAGTAATACCTGTCCTGGACCCATGCAATGCTTCTCCAGACTACACTGGACTACTAGGTTTTAGAAACAAATTATTACTACTGCTGGAACCCATCTGCTGTATTTCTATTCTGTTTTTTAAGTCACTTAACTGAAACTAGGTTCAGTACTTTGGAAAACAAAATTGTTCCATTATGGTCAATCAAGACACGCTGGTTTACAATATGCTGGTATCTAATTGCGTGGGGTTGATACTTTTATTGCTTTTGCTGGCATACACAAGGAGTAACTGTAATTAAGACCCAAATTAAAAATGATAGGTCTGACAGCAGTATTGACTCCCATCTCCTTGCCTCTCTGCTAATAGCCACTCCCTATCCAATAAAGAAAATTCAGGCTGAACTAAGCCACACATTTCAGCTTAGCAGTAGGTCTCAGGGGTTAGGAACACAGTTGTTTTGGATAGGAAATATTTCATACTAATGTCGTGCCTTATCTAGATCAAGGATTTCTGTGATTTGTTGCACCTGTACTACTATACACATATAGGCTAAATGTTAAACAGTGTAAAATCCTACTCTCTTTCATAGGCAGTTCCCTAATCATGAAGAAGATGGTTTGGAGAAAGAAATTTAGCTATGAAGCTAGCTGGTTTGACAAAGAATGATTAAAAAATGCTTCCATAAGCTATGAGATTGAAAGTTAAGCTCCATTTATCCTACGAAAGTGACAGGTATTTGGGAGGAGAGGCAAAAAAAGAAAAAAAAATCCTTTCTGCACTTGGAACAACGTAAGCTGACACAGAAGGGGCTTGTGCTTTACAAGAGAATAAGAAGCCAGATTCCTTTAGTGCCTAAAGTTGTTGCTAAGAGATGAGCTGAATTATATTAAAAAAAAAAAAAAAAGCGCAAGCGCACAAGACTAAAGAAGGAATTGTTACACTCTGACTGAAGAATGCACTGATGTCTTCTCGAGGAGGAAAAAAAGAAAAATATTTTCTTTGTGCACTCACTGCTCATTCTGGAACTTCTTGTTTGTGAAATATTTTCTTGAAACGTTTTCTTGCTTGGGCACAAGGGTTACAGACTGGTACATTCCATTCCTAACCTCCCGAACTCCTCTGTCTCATGAGCATAGATTTTTTTTTTTTTTTCTATGTGCTGAACAAGTCCCTGCACACAAACAAGCCTCAAAAGAGCAGTACACAAATGTAAGCCCTTATCTTTCCCGTCCTCCATTGCCTGTCTTGTGTTCTGCCAACATGGCAAATACATTTTTGTTTTGCCTCTGTAACCAGCACAGAAAGATACTGTTTGCTTTCTCCCCCACCCCCTCTTTTTTTTTTTTTTTTTCTGTCTGAAAGGTTACTGTGATCTTTAGCTTAATGTCCACAGAGGCGGGGATGCCTTCTAAGCATTGTGCTCAGAGGTACTAATCCAAAAATTTGGGTGAGTACTGCAACTTGCAGATAAGTCACTCTGAAACTAAGGTAATCTCTGCTAATGTTACCAATGGCTTCTCTTGGTGTGAATTAATTAGTGATGTCTTGCTGCCTTTCTTAGCATGTGTAGCCAGAGACATGATACTGAGAGGCGTTTATACCTTTCTCTTGAACATGCAGTACTGGCTACTCTTCTGACAGGATATCAGTGTAAATGGCTATCACTCTAACCCTCTGTGGCAACTTCCCTAAAAATAGAAATGAGCATGAAATTAAATATAAACATGCCACTGAACTGAAATAGAAAACTTGGATTTGAAGATGACTCAAATACAGCTCCTTCTTTATGTTGTTCAAGGCTGATTTATCTACTCATTTTATAATTAATCCTTTCAGCTAAATTGGGTGATCTGATTTAACTAAAAGAACGTGTCCTGCCGTAGAGGAGATGAATTTGGTTTAGTGCTGCTTTCCATCTCTCTCTCCCTGGAGTTCCCTTGACTGCTTCTGTTATATCTCTCTCAGCTGTCAGCTCGCTGTCTATTTAAACTGAAGCCTCCCAGGGTGGGGTCTGTGACTGCTTGGTTTGCAATGCTCCCTCGCACGAGGTTTGGGACAGCACCATGGAAACTAGCATCATTCCAAAATAAGCTGCAGACCCCATCAGCACTGCTCGCTTTTATGGAACCCTTTTCAGAGTAGCGGTGTTATAAATAGATCCTATGTTACAAGTTACAATAAGGGATGTGCATTAGCAGCTACTTAAAAAACTTAGCTATATTCCAGAAATCCAAGCAGCAAGTAACTATATTCTAGTATTACACAAAAGACAAGGAATCGACTCCTTGGAAGGCTTAACTACAGCAGCCTAAAGCTATACAGAGCTGATATACCATACCAGCTCTACCTGCTGCTTTCTTCTGCATCTGTTCTACAATATGTATTTGGGGGCAGGGAGCAGAAATTTAATGTCTAATAGTGGTTGTTTCTCTGTGTCTTATAAAGGACTTGGTACTAAGTCAGCATCTGTCAAAGGTAGTGCAATTGTACGTTAGCCATATTCAAATGTAAGGTTTAGGATTACTTTTGAACTGGAACATTAAAACATCCTGGTTTTGCTTTTTTTAATCTTCTAATGGTGATTGCTGGCAATTCTGTTGCTTATACCCACTTAAGTCTCAGATGGGGCGTCCCTTTTTTGTGCATGGTGATTGTGAAGATGGGTGGTGTGTATGTGGGAGCTTGGAGGTACTTTTACTGTGACTAATGTGAAACCACAGTAAGTTCTACACAAATTAGACTGAGAAGCATACAAGAAGATACAGCACGGCCCGCTACCGCAAGCATTAAGTTCAACATACAAGTTAATAGTGATTGCAATTTCCCACCCCCTTGTTAATTTTTACAAAGAGCTGTGATGCTTCTGCCAGAGCTGCCACTTTTTCAGACCTCAAATGGAATATATGCTACATCGCCTCTCTGATCTTTAGCAACTTGTTTAAATAATATCTTTCATTAATGAGTACAAGGGGTCATTTTAAGTGATAAAGTGATCTCTTCATAATATCCTAGGTTCAGAATCTTATTGCGTGCCCTGGGGTTATAAGTAGTATTTACTTCAGGGGACTGAACTGAGGGTGTTTAATCAGTTGCAAAATCATTTTCAGGCTCTGGAACATACGTTATTACAGTGATGGCCCATTAAAATGTCTTGAGAAAGAGAGCATTTTAATTAAAATCTATTTTTGTTTTTATTCCAATGGCCTAACTAGGAGATGCATAGAAAATTAAGGAAAAAAAAAAAATACTAGAGCTGATTTCAGGTCTGCTTCCCTAGGCAGGAGCTGGTTAGTAGGTAATCTTGGCTGTATTAGAGCTAAAGCAGCTTAGAGGGATTGAAAATTGTGTAGCTAATGCTGCTTTTAATTGGTTCTTAAGGCACCCATTTGGGTTCAACATGGCTTTATCTTTCTAACAAGTGTTCTCATTTAAAAACAGAAAGGAGAGTATCCCCATTGAGCAACATCTTTAGTGAATGAATATTGCAAGTAAAATAAATGCACCTTAGTCTACATCTTAGTCTTGAATCAGATGGAGGTAGAATTTCCTGAGGAAGCACCAATCCAGATACTAATGCAGGAAAACCATGGGTAGAAAAAAAAAACCCTTCAGTGCCTACTTACATCTGGATAATAGTCCATGGTGGGCACCAGGCGCTCTATCAAGGCTTCCAGTGATCCAGAAACAAGGTTCCCATCCTGATAAACAGGGTCCACACACCTCTCTCCCATATCTGGCTGCACTTGTCCACTACAACTGGAACCAAGCATGCTGGAAAATATTGGCGTCTGGGGCATAGTTTCCTGCAGAAGCAGGGGAAAAAAAAAAAAGAGAGAGTTAAGCTTTCTTTCAGGATGTCTTATGTGTGGGTTTTATAGAGGCATACATTAAACACAATTACATATTTGACTGAATGCAGCTTGGGCATTAGCACTAAGTTCTGAATCCAAGCAGTCACACATCTGTAAGCTGGCTTTGGGGTTTGAAATGCACTTTAAACTATGTCACTAAGGCTGTAGATGCAGAAGCTATAAGAATTTGATTCTTCACTGTATTGATTTCTCCTTTCTCCCCAGTTTTCCCTGGCTCTTTATGCATAAAACTATACAGGAATGAAAATGCAAAACGCTTTCTGAATTTCAAAGATACTGAAGCAGTGCCTTACTGAACAAACAAAAAATACTGTGCCTTAATGTCCTTCTTTTTACTCTTTTGCAAGTCAGATCTTTGGCCAAAATGCTTGACTTGTGATAAATCCTTCACCACTTCTGTAGCTAGATGTAATCCAGGTCTTGACAGAAGTGCATCTTCTCCTGCACATAGATATCCCTGGAAATAGTGGGGGACGTAGTGTCTGAATAAAATTGCCCTTTTTTTTTTTTGGTACATGAAACCATGAACTGAGTGGAACTGAATGCTGTGACTTATACTGTAATATACAACTCTAATAACGGTCTCTTTGGAGATTTTTGCTTCAGAAACTAACCTGCTGTTGCAACACAAAAAGCACGAAGGTTTAGGGTTTCCACCTCCCTCCCTTTGGCCACGAGCTTATATTAGTATACCATAGTTACCAACTGTGAGTAAACTGTGGAGTCTTTTTGTTTGTTTGTTTTAAACTGGCTACAGCTTAAATATATGCAGAAGGCTAAACAAAACATCCTGCTACTCTATGTGAAGGCTGAAAATACTATTCAGCATCAAAACAGTTCCCCCTGGCTGCTGAAATAGTTAAGACTGTGTAGAAGCTAAAGTGAAAAGAAGGCAGCGTTAACTCTTTAGCTGCTGTCTCATCCTCTATGAAACAAACATGATAATGGCATGCTCCGAAAAGCACTTAGGTAGATAAAAGGGATTAGGCCATTACCAGGGCTTTTTAAACTGACAGCTGTTTCTAACTGCACTCGTGTCTTAGACACAAGTCTTCTCTTTAGCAATTTTTCAAAAACTATTTTAAGAACTGAAAACCTTTAAATGCTGTAAGGATTTTTACTTTTTTTTTTTTTTTTTAGGTAGCACTTGAAACAATTGTAGACCAAAACTATACTTTATATTCTTTTAATGCAAGGCACATTTTTCCTCTCAAACTCTCCAAAGTGATCATTCATGTTTACAACCTGGGATACAAAATATTTTCTGTTTTTAAGCTCAGATGAATGCTAGGTGCGTTGGTAAGGAAAATATACCAGTATTAATGATACTTGTTCATCAAGGTGACAGATTTACTTTATATGCAAGGCTGATAAGTAGAACTGTTTTGTGGCTTTAACCAGAAGACCTTTATGTATTCATATCTGATATAGATACCAGGGAAGTGTAATTCCCTGTAAGTTAAAATATAGCAGCTCCTTAATAGTGACCAGGGAGACTACTCTGAGGAGTGTGGAGTTCAGTTTCAGAAGTTCGGGACATAGAGTCACATAAAACAGAAAATGCAGGATCTAATGGCATATCAACAGAAATGAAAAATAACGATTCTGCACAAACAGGCATTAAGGTTACTCAGTATTTCATAGATTTATCTGTTAGGCACAAGCTTTGCCGTACACAACAATCTGACACATCACTGGAGCATATGATGAAGCAGACAGCTTTGCTATGCATACTATGTAACTCGCCAGTGATTTGTTTTTTTTCCCTTTTAAGGTCCATAGCAATAGAGCTGAAAGCTACATCTCGGGCTGGACAGACTCCGATGGGCACTTCTGGCTAATAATAGCAAGTTGCAGAGGGTTTTAAGGGAAGTTAACCACCAACTAGCAAAGATGCTTTAGGAGGAAAAGTATCCCGTTTTTGCTGCCAAGTGTTTTAAACTCCTTTAAGACGTTCATTGTTGCATCAGGCTTGTTTTTTAAAGACCCTTTTCGGGAGCAGCCCGCAACGATCTTCACCGGATTGGGAAGGCCGGGAGCCGAGCCCTGGCCCTCCAGCGGGGCTGGCCCCCCCCGGGGGTCTCGCCCCCGCCGCCAGCACCCCCTCCCTGCGGTGCCAGCTCCGGCCTCCGCGGAGCAGCGAGGGACCCGATCGGCCGGCTCCCCCCGCGCTGAGGGAGGGCAGCCCCCGCCGGGGGGCGGTTAATACCTCCGTCAGCAGCCCCGGCGCTCTCGGCCCCTGTCCCCTACGGTTTCCCTGCCCCTCGCAGTGCGCTCCCTCCCCACACACACAAGCCCCTGGCTCCTCGGGGGCGAGCGGCGGGGGGGGGGGGGCTGGGGGGGGGGCGGCCGGGCCCC